GCCACGTCCGGTCAGGATGGGGACGTTAAATCCGATGCCTCGTGTAAAGAGAATGCCACGCTCTTTGCACGTTAAGAACCCTTGTAACAACTCTTTGAGGGGTCCGTAGGTGACCTGTTGCAAGGCTAGATTTCTATCCCTATCCAATATACCCTCATTTCCCGTGGCAGTCTAAATTTCTCCGACCTTAATCCCGGACACCTCTATTACAGAACCTACCTATTGTATTTATTGTTAATTTGTTTTCGTCCTGAATATGCATGAAATATTTGCCACTGGACGTTAGACAACCAACAATCAATCAATCATTGAAAGGCAATACTTTATATATGGAGCCAAAATATGTTTTGAGCCACAGTAGATCTTATCAATCACAAAAATGTTTGTTTCTTTGATTTCGCCAACAACGTGCCATAATTTTTTTAAAGCGTCATAAGAACGAAATATCTCCTTTACGCTGTGAAAAAATGGACCTACTTGTGTTGACTTAATTGTAAAAATAGATTATTCTTCTTTTGAATTTTCATTTATAATTGCAATCTCTCATCTATAGTTTTCACTTAAATCCCATATATCGATAAACAAATCATCAGCGAAGGTCAGCTACATCTATTGGCAATCCCCTTTTAGCGTTGACATCCTTGGGGGTTGATAGGGAGATCTATAGACGTATACAGATAATCAAATAACATAGGTTTGCCATCTATTTGTCATTTCATATTCATTCATACTTAATGACAAAATTAAGCTAACTGTTAATTTATTAAAATGCTGACAGTATTATATAATGCTTGCCAGACTAAAGTTTAATTGCTTATAATCTACACGAGAAACACATCAATTCAAATCCAAATAACCGTGTTGACAACATCCCACCTACATATTCGCATTGGCAATCGTATAAAAATGGTAAAAGTATACATAGATATAAGAAGATGTGGTATGAGTGTCAATGAGACAACTCTCCATCTTAGTCACAATTTATAAAAGTAAACCATTATAGATCACAGTACGGTCTTCAACATGGAGCCTTGGCTCACACCGAACAGGAAGCTATAAAGGGCCCCAAAAACTACTAGTGTAAAACCATTCAAACGGGAAAACCAACGGTCTAATCTACATACAAAACGAGAAACGAGAAACACTTATGAACCAAATCAATAAAACGACAACTACGGAACATCAGATTCCTGACTTAAGACAGGTGCAAACAATTGCAGGGGGTTAAAACGTTTTAATGGTACCAAACCTTCACCCTTATCTGAAACAATAGTTTAACATCACAACATAGAAAGACACACTATAAAATATCAATTGAAATGGCTTAACTCAATCAAAAGACATATTAACACAAGTGAGCATACACTCAATGAATAAATTTGATCTATGATACAATGTAAATACAAAATCAATAAAATAAAAATGAATAATTAAAGAACATTATTATACCGCTTTGAAATGTTAAACAATTTCAGAAAAACAACAATAAGCTCGAACAAAAATCCGTCATTTACAATAATATTATACACAGGTAAATGAAATTAATTTTGTTGTTAGGTATACAGTTCAAAATGGAGAAAGGAAATATTTACAAAATAAATAAATTTTGATATTCATAGTACAAAGAAGTGAAAATTTATAGTAATACCAGACATTTATCAAAACTGGTATATAGACTAGATATAACCCCAAATAAGTAAACACTGAATGACAAAAAAGTATTACAAATAGTATCAACAGGTCAAATTAACAAGAAAAAGTACGATTTGAGAGTACTCGCAGTTACTGACAGCTAGTTAAAAGCCAACACAATTAATAATAAAAAATCATGCATCAGAGACTAACATCAACTAAAACACATCCCAGGGATTTAGTATTTTAACGTCATGGACAGTCAAAGAAGAATTGACTTGTGCAATGCCAAAATAAATGTATCGACAGGCAGTAGGGTAGTTAGGAGTTAACTTCTTCATAGATTTAAATGAACGTGGGTGTGTCTTTATCCCTTTTGAAAAGAATACAAATTTAGTTATAATTTAATTTGCTAATGACAAAATCGATATTATTGCCAATGTAAACTATATTCAAAGATGTAAAGGATATTTTAATGTCGCATGTAATTGTTTCATAAACATAAGTTACTTCTTGACATACTTCTTAAATATAATTAATATATACAATTCCAAGCATACTTTATTACCTGGACAGGAAACACCCACATCATACTGATGACCACAATAACTACTAACGACGTACCAACCACTTGATAAACAGCTATCAATGTGAGCTTCATTTCCAACACAATATAAACCGCCACCAATCAATATACGTCCAGTTCCTTGTCCAAAGTGCGCACTTTATAATAATATTTGTATTTTTCTTAAAAATAAACATTAATATAACTAATAATTTTCCAAGTATACTCTTGTATTGACGATGATCCTAACAATGTATGTTTTTGGGAATTTTTAGCGTAACGTCAGTTCAAAGTAGTTAAACTGACTAACAACTACATCGTTGAAAGTTGCTTGTAGTTGCAAAATTAGAACTATTAAATATGATCAATTAAAATCAGTGAATTGAAAACCATCATTGTAGGTAAAAAACCTAAGACATCGACATGGCTTTCAGGATATCTTTACAAATGAAAGAACAAAAATATACAAACAGCTAAAGATCATGTAACACGAGCATTATCTGGCGGTCTACAACTATCAGCTGTAATTTTACTCTTTTCTAAAATGCGGCGAATCCTAATAAAGCATCAAGGCATTATGCAATAACAGAAAAGGAAATATTTCTTGTTTAACCCCATTCACATGTACTGCGAAAGTCATGAATTAGGGGCAACTCTACTTTGCAATTAATTAAATCCTGTCAATCGATTTTGCAAAAAAAAAAAAAAGAGAGAATATGAAATGTACCCTATGCAAATCTAGACAGGGATCGACGGCAGAGTAAGCGTTTATTGATGTGCTATGTCTGTATCACATGACGTGTTATTCCGCACTCAGTCAATTTATTGATATAAACCGCTTTTATTTCATCTTCGTGAAAAGCATTATAAAGTGTAGAACCACTAATTCAGGCAGGGTCAATAGGTACAGTATTTGGGAAGTTTTGGTATCAAATGTTGAAAGTTGTTTTATTATTATTAATAAAGAAGTATATAAAGTTATAATAGGAGGGCACGTTTGCCCTGTTGTTCAGATCAAAAGTACCTGTTGTTCATACTGTCAAACTTCCAGGAACAGTACGCTCTAATATGCAATTAAAGGTTTGTTGAATTTTTCAGCACAAGTTAAGATAAGGTATAGTTTTAACATTAAATGACTTGTCAGTTTATTTGAACTAAAGACAAAGTGGCCGTTGATGCTTGAAATTGCAGAATTAAACATAAAAAGCAATGAGGCTATGAATTAGTGGTTTTATACTAGTACATAAACAAAGTAGCAAGGAGTATAACTGTTCTTACCCTGTCGTTGAAAAACCAGCAATTCGACATACAACTGTAGCGTCATTTAAATCAAAACGGTTATTAAATCCACATATTGTTCCCCATTGTCCATTCACTTTTAATTCTACGCGACCTTCCCAATGTTTAGAGCCATTGACAAGCCTGACACCTATAATGTTAGTACCCTATGTATTAATCAAATATGTTAGTTGTATTTTTGTTAAAGGTAAGAACTTGAAAAATGGTTAATTGAAAATGTTCATTTGCTTTCTGTTATATTCAAAACAAATATATGTATATATATACCACTATTGACGTTTGATACAATTACAACAACCGATGTGATCATCACATATATGTGGATGATAAATAGTTGCTACAACTGCTATCAATATTAAATATTCTTTTTTATGATATGACTTTTTGGTCAATCTAAGGATAAACGACATAATTAACTGTGACAGTTTTCCCTTTTTAACATAATTCTTTGTTTATAAGTCTAATATCAAGGTTTGTACCAATGTGTGTTTTGATATTGTAAACTATGTTCATTTGCTTTCTTTTATCAGTCTTAAGTGAGCGCTTTTATAAGTTTTATCCGACCGATGTACACATGTCAACCTTTTCTGTCACATCGAAAGCACTGATTGGTTGATATTCAACTGTTATTATTTGAAACAGATGATGTAATATTTCGACAGTACCGACAATTCTTTTAATCACGAAGACAAATCTTCAAGAAGTTCAATGTGACTTGTACAAACAAAATTATTCATTATCAATGATTCGATAACACTCCCCTCATTAAAGGTTTTCACAATATCTATAAAACGTACTTTTCTGTAATTTCAATAAAAATTAATAAAATCAAATTACCTTGTACGACATCTGTACTATTCCCACCTGGAAATATTCGACAAGTACAAATACAGCATCTTGTGTGCCATTCAAAGTTTGTAGTCGCCGTACAATCACCAACGGTTTTATTCAATTTCAAATTTTTATTAAAAATATATACATGACCTAAATGCATTCAGTATTTTTAAAGTCTTCTTTGTTATCCAGACTAATCTGATGTATATATACATAGTTATTGTATATTGTCCATCGGTTTGAACTATTTCATATAGATGGATACGAATTATTTTGCTCTAACTATGACAATGTTTCAAGAAAGCACGAATATGTGGATTGTACAACAATATGTCGTCAACATAAAACATAGGAGAAAAAACATTTAGATACCATCATATTGGCTGTTTCGAAGTTCAGTTTTATCAAGAAATATCAATGCAGTCGGGATACATGGTATCATAGGTTTACATTTTCTTTGGCATCTATCGTGAATAATGATGAGGATTTGATATACATATTTCCAAATTTAATCCGTTGTATTTCCATTAGAGATAGATTTTCGCGCCCTTAACTCAGTTAAAAATATACTTTTTTTTAGGTAAATACAAGAAAAAGGTATGACATCAAATCATTTCTATCTTTATACTCTTCATACAATGCACTGAAATAAGACGTCAAATGAACTTACTCAAACAAGCTACACCTACATCTTGGCTATGTCTACACGATGTGGCAAATAAGCCACTTGTTGAACAGCTATCGAGATGTTTTTCGTTTCCCTTACATCCTAAATTTTGGAAAAAAACTGGACCAGTTCCTTCTCCGTAGGAACCACCAACAAAAGCCTGTAGGGCCCTTAGAAGAAAGGAAAATATACAATTAGTTAATACAAGAACGGCAATTCATTAAAACATGTTTCGCATCATTACAAAAACAAAAACAAAAACTTTTTCAAAATTGTTCAATGTTGTAACACTCGCAAACTTTTCCACCCCCCAAACGTGTCCGATTTCCCCAAACGTGTCTATTTCACCTAAACGTGTCCTTCAAATCATAAATCGCCCATATGTGTCCGATTTCACATCCCCAAACGTGTCCGATGATTGTCATTCGCCAAAACGCCTAAACGTCTCAAAACTCTTAGCGCCAATATTTCACCGTCAGGTGAAAAACATTTACGTGTACGAAAAAAAGACTTCGGGCTCTATTAGATTCTTAAAAAAATCGAAGTAGCTACCCAAAGAAATCTGCGGGAAAGGTATAGTAATCCGTATAGACAAATGTCCAAGAATGCTACACTGTGTACGGTGACTTTTGCTTTCAAATAAATAGACACCAGATTAAAAAAGGATCGCAGAATGAAAAGTTATTTTTCCTTGCAGCGGTTTTAATAATTTTTTATCAATATAATTATCATTGTTTTAAAGTATAGATAGAGTTATTAACATTTTATCGTGTAAGTTTTCCTGGTCCTTCACTGTAAATAAAGTGGTCATTTATTAGCATTAATTTGAACAACGTCGGTTATTTATATTAAGCATAATTGTAAGCTAAATTTGCAACATATAATTAACTATTGACTGTTAATTACTTATTGTCCAGTGGCCAATATGTCATGCGTATTTAAAAAAAAAAACATAAACATTGTAATTTATTAGTTTTGTACAGTTTTAATCATTGTTTACGGAAGTGGATTCTATTGTACTAATATTCTCCGATGATACATAAATGTCTTTATATAATATGAGGGTATTGCACGACCTGCTTCATGCAGAAGTGGTTTCTGTGCTTGTAAAAAGGAGACCTTACAGTTTCATATAAACTAGACTGGTACCCAACCGATAATGAAATTCTTCGTATATTTGTATATTCCGAATGGCATACTAAATATGTTACGGAGGGAAACAACCTTCATATAAACCGGACGCGTTTAGCCTTTTTAATTGAATGAACACAATTGGGCGCTTACAAACAAAACACGTCTTGGCGACATTTAGCAACTAGACATGTTTTGCAATTCAGTGATGTCATATGAACACGTTTGGGGGGATCGGACACATTTGGAGGGATGGACACGTTTCTGAGTGTTACAAATGTAATGATTGTTTTACATATTATGCATAGTATAAAATTGCAAACAACATTTTAACAAGTTCATTTGAAATCTAATTGATTTTAAAGCGACATTTTTAAACATTTCTGTGAAATAACCAGAAGATAACAACATTATGTTCAAATTCATAAGTCGAAACAAACTGACGAATGATAAAAAATAACAAAAATAACGAACAAATTTAGAAAAAAAGGGGGAGTCCATAAAACTTACTAAATCAAGCGTTATCAATCAGCAGAACAAGTGAAAAACAACTGCCATATTTCTGACTTGGTACAGACATTCTTCGAAGAGAATGGTGGATTAAACATTGAGTTATAGCTAGCCAAACCTCCTACATGTATGATAGTTCTTTTATATTGACGAAAATGGGTAAGACACAACGTCAGACATAGTGCGTTAATGTGACAATAATTTGGATCCAGCAGCCAAAACTGTGTAAACATTCATCACATCAGGCTTAAAATTTTGTATGCCGGAAAAGCGTTTCCTCTACAACAGACTCATGAGTAACGCTTGGATCAAAAAAGTTAAAAGGCCAAATACAGTATTAAGTTGCGGTGATTTTCGGACATTAAATTCCGAAAGGTTTAACAAACAGCTTAGGACATCTATATCTAGGATAAAAAAATATATTGTTACCTAGAATATCCTGCCATTCGGCACAACACTTCCGCATCCTCCATTCCAAATTGTTTATCACAAATTGTACCCCACTGTTCATTTACATTAATCTCTACTCTTCCCTCAAATGGTCCCGGACCATCAACAAATCTAACGCCTATGACAAGGAAACTAATATATAACCAACTTCTATTTTCAGATAGATTAATCCTGTCTAACAAATCAACAATGTAATCAGTTAGGGGATTGTCATTCTTTTAAAATGTATGCAAAAATGTTGCGACAAATACTTTCGACCTAAAGAGAAATAAATAAAATAGTATACTCATGGATAGCATTCATCATTATTTTGCATTTTCAACGACACGAAATGGTATCCATATTCTACCATAAATCATTGATCAATTAAATTAACATCAGTGTAAAATTCCTGAAAAATAATTGTTTTGAACTTCGTCGTGTGAATCTGATAGTTTATATGTTCACTTTGATAATTGTGGAGATAACTTTTTCATGTTTTCCTGCTGTTTGATAAATATAATCAAAATTATTTTTGTAGTACTAATAAATTGGTTTGCATTGTTTGAACTCAATGTGTGAGCAATTTTTTGCAAATCCAGCAGTATAAAGTTGGGGATATAAAAGAGGTAAAAAAAAATCATGTTTCATCTTCAATGGAAATATAGGGATACATTTCTAAAACAACTTTGCTTTATTCATCTAAGTTCGTTGTCTATTCAAGAAACAATCGAACAAACATATACTGTCTATGTACGTGAATTTGAATCCTATATAACTTTTAATGTCTTAACCATATACTTTTGAAATCGAGCTTTAAAACTTGTATGTACTATCTTCCACTATTATCATTGGGGCAATACATCATTATAAGATTCACATGACGACTCTCATGGTTCATATATCAATCCCATTTTACCATCAACTCTTATTTATGTGCTACATATTGTAACAGTAGACCACACGGGGGTTGGGAAGCAAAATGTTTAATTTTTAATAATAAAAAAAATGTTTGAAAAACACTACCTTAAATTTTATTTGCATGACAAAAGTAAGCGTTGTCTGATATGACTCTTGTATTTCTGGCTGTTTTGTTGGTTTATTTTTTTAAAGGCTGCACATATGATGTTATTGATGTGAATATGGAGTTTTATGTTGACACTTGGATTTTACATCCCATATTGATAGTTCGTTGTCTATTCGAATAAACAATATAATTATTTAATAAGGGGTTGTGTGATCCGGGCTGACATCTCGCTTATATATGTTGGTTTGTTGATTTGTAACTAATATTATGTGTTTTCTGTACCATTCCACTGTAAATGGTATGTTGAGAAATAAAGATACATGTAAATATATAATAAATTTTGCAAATTTATAACACAGTAAGACAGTAACACATATGAATCATTTATCTTGTTCATTGGAAAAGCTAAACCATAAAATCGGGATATAAACAATCGAGACATAAAAAGACAGATGTGGGTTTCTTTGTGGTTTTGGTTTAAAATGATAATGAATGCACAAATAAGTATAGGATTTGGTACAAAAAGAGTATTGACAGACTCATCCTTTGAATAAATAGCGTTCCCTATATGTACATGTACTAGAAATACAATATGAATGTAGCCTATTTACATGCATGTCTAAATGCGTCGTCAGATCATACGTTTTCGTACGTCATATGAATCAACATGTTGTTACCCTGCAAAAACATATTCCGTACAATATATTTCCGCTGCTCTAAAATTCACTACCCTTTTTTCCTTTATGTTTTTGAACTTTTGAACGTTTCATATTATTGTTACTCTGGGTACGTTATATCTAATTCGCACTTGCCAAAGTTTAAAAAAGTATTTTCCTGACAAAAGTGTACGCCGCGTCCACATTTGCACCGACCTAATTCTCAGAAAATATTGCACCGTCACTAAAAAGTAAAATAACAAAAATACCGAACTCCGAGAAAAATTCTAAACGGAAAGTCCCTAAGCAAATCGCAAAATCAAAAGCTTAAACACATCAAACGAATGGATAACAACTGTCATATTCCTGACTTGATACACGCGTTTCTAATGTAGAAAATGGTGGATTAAACCTGCTTTTATAGTTAGCTAAACCTCTCACTTGTATGACAGACGCATTAAATTCCATTATATTGGCAACGATGTGTGAACAAAACAAACACACATAAAAGGTAAAAAAATGTCAAACATAGGGGTACATCAGTCAATAGTGTGTTATAATCTTCATAACAATCGAACAAACAAATATGTCAACAAAGAAAAACTAAAAAGCATACAGACAAAGTACATTAGCAATACGAAAGACAAGTATACAAACAATTACCATAACACAATAACACAATGACGGGAAGTATAAGTACCGAGCCGCTTCAAATGGATATAACCAAAAATATACTAAACGGTGAAAGTAATAATTTACAAAGACATATAAAAAAATAACACGTTATTTCGATGATATACAAAGCCAGATAACATTCCTCATTAAAGGTTTTCACAATATCTATAAAACGTACGATTTTGTCATTTCAATAAAAACTAATTTAATCAAATTACCTTGTACGACATCTGTACTGTTCCCACCTGGAAATATTCGACAAGTTAGTGCTCAAATACAGCATCTTATGTGTCATTCAAAGTTCGTAGTCGCCTTACAATCACCAACGGTTTTATATATACATGACCATAATGCCTTTAGTATTTTAAAAGTCTTCTTTGTTATCAAGACTAATCTGATGTATATAATTACACAGTAATTGTATATTGTCCATCAGTTTGAACTATTTCATATAGATGAATGCGAATTATTTTGCTCTGACTATGAAAGTGTTTCCAGAAAGCACGGCGATGTGGATTGTACATCAATAGGCCGTCAACCATAAATCAAAGGAATAAAAATACAAAAACATCTATATACCATCATATTGGGTGTATCGAAGTTCAGATTTATCAAGAATTATCAATGTAGTCGGTATCGTAGGTTAACATTTTCTTTGGCATCTATCGTGAATAATGGTAAGGTTTTGATATACATATTTCCAAATTTAATCCGTTGTAATTCCATTTGTGATAGATTTTTGCGCCCTCAGTTCAGCTAAAAATATAGGTAGATACAAGAAAAAGGCATGACATCAAATCATTTATATCTTTATACATTATACTCTTAATAAAATGCACTAAAATCAGACGTCAAATGAACTTACTTAAACAAGCTACACCTACATCTTGGCTATGTCTACACGATGTAGCAAATAAGCCATTTGTAGAACAGCTATCGAGATGTTTTTCGTTTCCCTTACATCCTAAATTTTGGAAAAAAACTGGACCAGTTCCTTCCCCAAAGGTACCACCAATAAATGCCTGTAGAGCCCTTAGAAGAAAGGAAAATATACAATTAGTTAATACAATTCATTAAAATATGTTTAGCATCATTAAAAAAAACCATTTTCAATGTTATAGATTTAAGAAGATGTGGTATGAGTGCCAATGATTGTTTTACATACTAGTAGTATGCATAGTATAAAATTGCAAACAACATTTTAACAAGTTCGTTTGAAATCTTATTCAATTCTAAGCGACATTTCAAATCATTACTGTAAAATAACCGGAAGATAACAACAGTATATTCAAACTCATAAGTCGAAAAAAAAAAAGAACTGACGATTGATCAAGGATAACAAAAATAACGAACTCCAATGCAAATTCAGAAAAACAGGGGGAGTCCATAAAACTGACTAAATCAAATGTTGTCATCAGCAGAACAAGTGAAAAACAACTGCCATATTCCTGACTTCGTACAGGCATTTTCCGAAGAGAATGGTGGGTTAAACATTGAGTTATAGCTAGCCAAACCTTTTATTTGTATGATAGCTCTTTCATATTGACAACATTTAGTAAGACACCAAATCAGACGTAGTGGGTAAATTTGACAATAACTTGGATCCAGCAGCCAAAACTGTGTAAACATTCATCACATCAGGCTTAAAATTTTGTATGCCAGAAAAGCGTTTCCTCTGCAACAGACTCATTAGTAACGCTTGGATCAAAAAAGTTAAAAGGCCAAATACAGTATTAAGTTGAGGTGATTTTCGGACCTTAAACTCAGAAAGGTTTTACAAACAGCTTAGAAAATCTATTTCTGGGATCGAAAATATATTGTTACCTAGAATATCCTGCCATTCGACACAACACTTCTGCATCCGCCAATCCAAATTGTTTATCACAAATTGTACCCCATTGTCCATTTATATTAATCTCTACTCTTCCCTCAAATGGTCCCGGACCATCAACAAATCTAATGCCTATGACAAATAAACTAATATATAACTAACTTATATTTTTCAGATAGATTAATCCTGTCTAATTAATCAACAATGTAATCAGTTAGGGGATTGTCATTCTTTAAAAATGTATGCGAAAATGTTTCGACAAATGCTTTCGATCGAAAGAGAAATAAATACAACAGTATACTCATGGATAGCATTCATCATTATTTTGCATTTTCAACGACACGAAATGGTATTCATATTCTACCATAAATCATTGATCATTTGAATTAACATCGGTTTGATATTCCTGAAGGATGATTATTTTGAACTTCGTCGTGTGAATCTGATAGGGTATATGTTCACTTTGATAATTGTGGAGATAGCTTTCTCACGTTTTCCTGCTGTTTGATAAATGTAATCAAAATTATTTTAGTAGTACTAATAAATTGGTTTGCATTGTTTGAACTCAATGTGTGAGCATTTCTTAGCAAATCCAGCAGTACAGAGTTGGAGATATAAAAAAGGTTAAAAACAACATTTGTCATCTTCAATGGAAATATAGGGAAACATTTCTAAAACAACTTTGTTTTTTGTAAAATGATTCTTGAAAAGGGAGTGCTTTATTCATCTACGTTCGTTGTCTATTCAAGAAACAATCGAACAAACATATACTGTCTATGTACGTGAATTTGAATCCTATATAACTTTTAATGTCTTAATCAAATACCTTTGAAATCGAGCTTTAAAACTTTTATGTACTATCTTCCACTATTATCATTGGGGCAATACATCATTATAAGATTCACACGACGATTTCCAGGGGTCATATATCAATCCCATTTTACCATCAACTCTTATTTATGTGTTACATATTGTAACAGTAGACCACACGGGGGGTTGGGAAGCAAAATGTTTAATTTTTAATAATAAAAAAAATGTTTGAAAAACACTACCTTAAATTTTATTTGCATGACAAAAGTAAGCGATGTCTGATATGACTCCTGGATTTCTGGCTGTTTTGTTGGTTTATTTTTTAAAGGCTGCACATATGATGTTATTGATGTGAATATGGAGTTTTATGTTGACACTTGGATTTTACATCCCATATTGATTGTTCGTTATTTATTCGAATATATTTTGCAAAATTATAACTTAGTGCGACATAAGAATCATTTATCTTGTTTATTGGAAAAGATAAAGCACAAAACCGGGACATTAACAATCGAGACATAACAAGAAAGATTTGTTTTTATTGTTTTGGTTTAAAATGATAATGAATGCACAAATAAATAAAAGATTCCGTAAAATGAGTATTGACAGACCCATCCTTTGAATAAATAACATCCCCTATATGTACATGTACTAGAAATACAATATGAATGTAGCCTATTCACATGCATGTCTAAATGCGTCGTCAAATCATATGTTTTCGTACGTCATATGAATCAACAGCTTATTACCCTGCAAAAACATATTCCGTACAATATATATTTCCACTGCTCTAAAATTCAATCTCCTTTTTCCCTTTATGTTTTTTAACTTTTGAACGATGTCTTATTATTGTTACTCTGGAATCGTTATATCTATTTCGCACTTGCCAACTTGTGTGAACAAAGCAAACAGACATAATAGGTAGAAAATGTTAAACACAGGGGTAGAGCAGTCAACATTGTGTTATAATCTGAACAACTATTAAAAAAACAAATATGTCAACAAAAAAAAACAAAAAGGCATATTGACAAAGCACATTAGCTATACGAAAGACAAGAATACAAACAATTGCCATAGTACAATAACACAATGACGGGATGTATAAGTACCGAGCCACGTCCAATGGATATATCCAGAAATAGACTAAACAGTGAAAGTAATTATTTACAAAGACATATAAACGAATAATATAACATGCTATTAAGATGATGTACAAAGTCAGTACCTAGATTCTATACTTCAATACCATCGTGTATTTTTTGTGAAGTTGATACGGAATATTTATCAATAAAGTCTTGGTATATTCCGTTGAACTTTTTTTTATAAAAAGGACGAGACGTTCTTTGACATACCCCTAGTTCATTAACTTTCTGCTCAGACACTGGTGACGTTTAACAAAGGCTGAGTAGCAGCAGAAAGCTGTTGAATACCAAATGAGTTGGGAAATTTATATCCCATATGCAGGTGAAGTTGGTATATTGCTACTAAAGTGAAGAAAATTGATCATTTCAAAATCATCTCGTTTGTCATAGATACTGGTACTTGGATGACCGCTTGTGTTAAATTCGAGGTATAAGTCTGAAAATGCGGGAGAGGGAGCCGTAACTGTTTTTTTTTTTTTTTTTTTTTAATACTTTTTAGTTCAGGTGGATATACTAATGGAACAGAAAAGTGAATTGTTAATGGAAAGAACATCATCAATATATCTGACTGTTAAATTAATAACATGGCTTCTTCGATCTTCTGGTTTTTGACAATTGTCTGAAGGAACGCCGACTCATATGAATGTAAGAAGAGGTCGGCAAGGAGAGGCGCTCAGATCGTTCCCATAGGAATGCCGACAATTTAATCAAAAAGTCCACCTCCAAATTCAACAAATATGTTGTCAATAAGAAACTCTAACATACTGATCACTTGTTCCTCTGTGTAGCATATTTTACTGTTTTGTTCACTTTTAACAAATTATGCCGTATTGAATCCCAAAGTAATAAACTTATAACGTATGCTACCGACCGTGCGAGGGCTGTATAGCCAGTCAAGGTCGTTAAAAACTCCCATCATCAACGTATGCTACCATCTTTATGTGGCAAAGCATTGTGGATTATTTCTTTTAAACGATTTTTTAAATTTCACATGGGGAATGGTATTAAACAGGGTTGAAACATCAAAAGTTTTGATGGAACTAATTTCAGAGAAAGATTGAGAGATATAAAAGTATCCAGAATTTCTTTAGAGTTTTTAAGAATCCACATATGGTTTATACTACTTCGCGAGTAAACAGTTCACAGTATTTCTGAAAACCCTCTTAACTGCGGACAGAATCTTTGTCAATCTAATGGACAATTCTTTCTTCGAACATGCAGATAAGCCGGCAATGTACCGTTGTTTGTACCGCATTTTATGAAGTTTGGGGTAATCCAATGCAAACAAGGCAAGTCCTCCGATATGCTGTTCATTGTTACATGTATGTTCATTGAAGCCATGAAGGACTAATGATTCGCAAAATTTTATCCTTGTCAAATGATATCTCTTTGTATGTGGGATTACCTGAGTGCTCCTTTATTCCTTATTCTTTTACAAGACACTCATAGTAGAACGATTTATATACAAAGACAATATTATTTTAAGCTTTGTCTACAGGAGCAACAACATACTTATCGTGAAGAGATGATAGACATTTCACAGCCTTTTTGTCTCTGAAAACGGACTTTGGTCGATCATTAACACATTAACACAGTTGTTCAATTTATGAATACGACGTTTTATCAGAGACCTGATTTTTTTAACTATTCTGACATATTGTCCAGTTCAACTTCTCGTTTAGCCTATGCTCTAGCGTAGTCATCATTGGCATCCATAATTATTTATGGTTCCAATTGATGTGTTGGGGTTCTCTAAACTTAGGACTATGAGATATCACCTTTCGGAGATGTTCATTTTGAATTATGTTTAGATCCCAAAAAATAACATGGTCAAGGGGCAGAAAATATAAGGCGAGTGGGAACAGTCACATGTCAAAGGGTTTTTGTTTATTGTTCTTAATCAAGATCCTACAATACTTGCTTATAGCTAAATACTTTAGATTCCATTTTTTGGTGTAACTGTATGATACAATAAGAACAGACTGATTTTGAAAATAAGGTTGAATTTTAGATGTTACATCCTCATGATGTAGAACGATGACAATGTTGATTGCATCAATTCCTTTATTGGTCAATTGAACAGAAAGGAATTTCCTCTTTTCCTCATGTAAAGGTTCTGATTTTACTGGTTTAAAAAGACGAAAAAGAGCTACATCACAAATTATGTTGACCAGTCTGTATATTGGAGAAATTGTATTATTGCATCCTTTGTCAAGAGCATAATCTCTCAACATTTTAGAAAATTAGCAGGCATTCAAAAATGATAGTTCTAATGTAACATAAACCTAGCGGATGATGAAGATGTCAAAAAGGTCATCAAAGCTCCTAGAGGCGATCTAGATTTGGAAGACTTTTTTAAAATTAGGCCGATGACTGACTACGTTTGTGTCTTAAAGTAGTATTGCATATGCTCATTACATTTACATCACTGCAGGCCGGATTTGATAAATTTCATACTCCTGTGTTGTTATCGTTGCAACCATTTGGTATTGGAGTACCTAGTTCCCTTATCAATAAATTTCTCTATTTATTATGAAAGGGGTACTTATCATAGAGCTATTAATGGTGAGATAAATTTTCTCGATAATACGTACTTTCATTGATAAAGAAGGATCATGGTCCGGTTGATTAAAATGGTTATAAAGAACCCTGAAATGCGGATCTTTATTATTGGACCGGTGGTGATTCATCCTTTTTACGCAAATTTTGTCGAGTTTCACCAACATAAAGTAAGCCACACAAAATACATTTAATTCCGTAAATGACTTTGTCTGTGGAATGGTCCACAGGCTGAACAGATTTAGTATTATAGGTTTTTCTTGTTAAGTTACTAGTGAAATCGGGAGTCGTTATTGACATATTACATATTTTACGCGTTTTCTTTTCTTATCTTTACAAGTTTTAATGTTTTATAAAACATCGTTACATTCAAACAGTCTAATTATAATCAAACTATAAAATGCTAGTCATACATATCATTCACGATGTCAAGTTAATTGCACCACAAGCGCATTTCGAGTATAAATGTCTCTTCAGTGATGCTTGAGAACAAATGAAGGAGCTTATAAACCAAAAAGGCCAAAAAGTGTGACCAAATTCATTTTCGAATGGAACAAATTTATTTCGCACTTGCCTATCATGCAATATGGGATGCGTGGTTGCATGGGTGTTTTATTATAACAAAATTAAAGTTCACCTATGAAATTTCAAACGATAAAATGTCGTTCTTAGATGTTGATGTAATTAAAGGTCCAAGATTTACAACACATGGCAATTTTGACCTTGAAATACATTTTAAAGAAACAAATTCTTACCTGTATCTGCACAGAAATAGCTGTCACTCAAAGCAAGTATTCCGAGGAATAATTAAAGGTGAAGCAATACGGCAAATTAGAAACACAAGTGACCATAACAATTTGATAAACAATCTAACTAATTTCAAAGTGAAATTATTAGATAGGAGTTATGATAACGTCGAAATAGATGATAGTATTACTGATGCTTAATCAATTGACCGTACTGAATTATTACAACAAAACAAATCAAAAGAAAAAAACAAAGTAATCCGTTAGTCTTAATAACTAAATATAACCCATATATACGTAAAATAGAGAAACGTATCATGAAACACTGGCATTTATCACAGTTTGACGAAGGTTGTGTACACATATTCAATGCAGCACCAATACTTGCGTATAGCAAACATAAAAGTGTTGGAGATAACCTTAGTAGAGTTAAAGTTAAAGACTTTAACATAACATTGACATTTAGACCCATGATGATGGCAGATCTGTCACAATAACTAGATCTATTGAAGAAGAATTGAAATATAAATATATTAATATATCAATATATACATGAATAATGTTCATATTTTATTATATTAAAATAATTCATCTTAAAATGACCATCCTAAGCTTAACTTCCGAAACAATAAAATAGTGTCGGGTCTTTTCGTGCAATATGAGATGCGTGGTTGCATGGGTGTTTTATTATAACACAACACAAAGTATTTACATGACAAAGTATGTGCTACATTCATATTTGCACCATTCTCATCCTCAGAAATAAAACACCGTTAATGAACTTTAAATTTTAGTAAATGTTACATCACTCTGTCTTAAATCAAAACTATTGTAAATGGCAGTGCTTATAACTTCAGCTATTCGGTTTACAAAAATTAAAATATGTGCGCAGGGCGCAAACATTTTAATTTGTTTAGTTGTGTTATGTCTTCACTTAACTGTTTGTTGAATTACCCTTTTAGTTTTCTGTATTACTTTTATCTGTTCATGGTATACTTGTATCTAAATCTTATCAAATAAATTACATGTACTACCATTATCATAAGCTTTGTATGTCAGATTTGTTATAATCAATATCAAACGTATCAATAAATATGTAGACAAGTATACAGGCATTATGTGAAATATGCAGTTTAGATAAGATAAGAACAGTTTTTCCATATGATTCCATAAGGTCAAGTATTCTATCCACCAGGAAAACATTATTTGAGAGTTGGCATTGCATGTTTAAGTTAACGATAAATAACGTAGCAAATAGACATCTTTGGGTTTGCTTCCCTATATTTATCAAAGGGACTTCAACTAAACCTTGAGCAAACAATTCGAAGACGTAGTTCTAAAAAAACAAAAACAGATATTGCATTAAATGTTCAGTTCTAAAGGGACATCTGCCAGGATTCCCGTCATGATTACCGTTAGAGGCAACTAAACAAGTTCAAACAGTAATATATATTTCGTTTAAAGTAGTTGTCTATAAAAAGAAATATATATATTAACCTTCTGTCGTGAATTTTCCAGGCTTTCCTTCAATAGAAAAAAATGCAATGAATAATAATAGTTAATGATATTTGATAGACATACGAATACGAATATGTACATAACTTTTTTGGCGTATGAACGTTTGTTTGAAGTTAGTTTTGAGAGTTTTTCTTTTCTTCTCGAAACAAGAAGCAGCCATCAGGATAAGTATTGTATTAACGAACCAATTCGTGAACATGACGTTAAAAGTAGTGTAGTGCAGACATTCTTCTTGATAATATGTTTATAACAGTATTTGTGTCACAACTCTGTAAATAAAGCTCGTCAAATATGGATATGCATGAGTCAAACTTTCCAATTGAGATGTGTCAACACAAAACGATGGGGCAGATGTTATGTTACCAATAAGATATTGGAATGTTGAAAAATTAAATCAATACTTTTGTTTTAAATCAACAGATTGCAGATTTAAATTAAATTTACTTTGGCAAGATACTCCTATATCATGGCTGTGTTGACAGGAAGTTGCAAACAAACCACTGGATGAACAGCTATCCAAATGTTGTTCATTTCCACTACATCCTAAACGGTCCAGAAAAACTGGACCAGTTCCTTTGCCGAAATGAGCCCCATAAAACCTTTGCAATGCCCTAAGAATAGTTATGAGATATATTTCAAAAGTAGTTGAAAAGGCTATAAAAAAGTTCTAGGCAAAATAACTAAGTTAACAAAGTTGATATGCGTTTACTACAAAGTAGAAAGCAAAATATTGAACCAAATGTCTATGTTAATGTACTTCAATGCTTTGTTGTAATGATAATTACCATGTATTGAATGAAAAAATGTAACATTGATATAATAAATGGAAGAAACACAATATCAACTAGAGTATCCTGCCATTGGACATAATACTTCAGCATCTGCTAAATCGAAATCGGTGTCACAAATTGTACCCCATTGTCCATTGATATTCAACTCTACTCTTCCTTCAAATGGCCCTGCACCGCCAACGTGTCTGATACCTGTTTATGAAAAATCATTCTTCTATTAGTTTTTGATTCTATTTATAAATCACTATTAAGCTAGTTATCATGCTGACTGTATGAAGTGACCAAAGTATTAGGTAAAGCTTCGCAATTACAACATGTCCATAACAACTTTACAATAAGTAGTAATGGGGGATGACAACTTTTCAAAATTTCATTGTTTTGTTTGTTGTCTTGTAAATAAAAATTGTCACGGTAACTACATCCGTCTTTTTATACTAGGTAGATATATTCGCACACCCAATTCATGCCTTCGTTTTGAAAAATATCGCTACCTTTAAAGAGTCTAATTATAATCAATCTATCAAATGCTAGTCATACATAGCATTCACGATATAAAGTTGATTGCACCACAAGCGCATTTCTAGTATAAATGTCTCTTCGGTGAGGCTCGAGGCAAAAACTAATTGAACAAATTTAGGAGCTTACAAATTAAAAAAGAGTTAAATGTGTAGCAAAATTGATTTTCGAATGGAACAAACTTTTTTCGCACTTGCCACTGTGTAATACAAAAAGTATTTGCATAAAAAAGTATGTGTTACTTTCTTAATAGCATCGTTTCCATCCTCAGAAAAAAATTACACTATCAATAGATATTTATTTGTATCAATGCTAAATTGATCTGCATTAAATCGAACCTACTGTAAATGGCAGTGCTCATAACTTCAGTAATTTGGTATACAAAAATTTAAACATGTGCAAGGGGCACAAACATTTTAGTTTGTTTAGTTGTGTTATGTCTATCTATACCCAACTATTTATTGAATTAGCCTTTTACTTTTCTGTATTATTTTCATCTGTTCATGATATACTTTTATCTAAATTTCATTAAGTACATTACATGTACTACCATTATTATAAGCCTTGTATGTCAGATCTGTAAAAACTAATATCAAACTATCAAAAAATATGTAGATAAATTTACAGGCAATGTTGCAGATTGTGCTTTATGTGAAATAGGCCAGAAAAATGTTCCATATGATTGCATAAGGTTAAGTATTCTATCCACCAAGAATACCTTATTTTAGAAATGGCATTGCAAGCATTCAAGTTAACGATTAATAACGTATCAAATAGACATCATTGGTTTTGCTTTCATATATTAGTACATTGAATTTCATAAAAACTTTTAGGTAAACATTCGTTGAGGTAGCTCTAAACCAAACCAAGAAAAAATAGACTTAAATTTCACTTCTTAAGGGGAACATCTGCCAGGACTTTCGTGATGGTTACTATCAATGGCAAAGTAAACAAGTTCAGACATTCATACATATTTCGTTTAAAGTATATATTTCACTATAAAAGGAATATATACATTTACCTTCTGTCGTAAATTTTCCAGGCTTTCCTAAAATAGAAAAAATGCAATGGATAATGATAATTAATCATAGTTAATAGAATTGAAATACAAAAGCTTCGAATTTTCGGCCGAGGCACGTTTATTTGGTGTAAGTTTTGGAAGTTTTCCTTTGCAGCTCGCAACAAGAAGCATTCGACAGTATAACTTTTGTATCGGTATACCAATTAGTGAAAATGACAACAAAACTAAGTAGTGAAGACAATTTTATTCATTAACTCTTTATAACAATACTTGTCGTAAAACTCTGTAAAGAAAGATCGTAGCATGTGGACATGCATAAACGTAAGATTTCAATTGAAATGTGTCAACGATAGGGCTGATATTATATTACTGATAAGAAATTGGAATGTTGACACTTGACAAAAAAAAAATGAAATCAATGCTTTTGTTTTGAGTCAACAGATTGCAGATTTGATTTAAACTTACTTTGGCAAGATACTCCTATATCATGGCTGTGATGACAGGAAGTCACAAACAAACCACTGGATGGACAGCTATCCAGATGTTGTTCATTTCCCCTACATCTTAAATGGTCGAGAAAAACTTGACCAGTTCCTTCGCCGAAGTAAGCCCTATAAAACCTTTGCAGTGCCCTAAGAATGGTTATGAGATAGATTTCAAAAGTAGTTGAAAAAAGTATAAAAAATATCTTGGCAACATTACTAGGATAACAAAGTTGATATGCGTTTACATCAAAGTAGAAAGTAAAAAGAGCAACATTAGTATACTGCTGTATTGAACCACATGTCTATGTTAGTGTTCTTCAATGCTTTGTTGGAATGAGAATTACCATGTATTGAATGAAAAAATGTAACATTAATATAATAAATGAAAGAAACACAATATCACCTAGAGTATCCTGCCATTCGACATAACACTTCAGCATCTGCTAAATCGAAATCGGTGTCACAAATTGTACCCCATTGTCCATTGATATTCAACTCTACTCTTCCTTCAAATGGCCCTGCACCGCCAACGAGTCTGATACCTGTTTATGAAAAATCATTCTTCTATTAGTTTTTGGTTCTATTTATAAATCACTGTTAAGATGGTGTTCATGCTGACTGTATGAAGGGGCCAAAGTATTTGGTAAAGCGTCGCAATTACAACATGTCCATGACAACTTTACAATTAGTAGTAATGGGAGAATATACACCCATTAGATGTTTTCGTTTGGTAAAATATAGTTACCTTCAAACAATCTTATCATAACAGAGCTCGTAAATGTATACAAGATCCCTGAAAACTCACTGATCCTTGTAATAAAAGTAATCTTAAATATTTTTCATATTTAACAACGTTGTTAGATATGTAAATATTGTTTCTATCTGTAATAACATGATTTTGTTTTTGAAAAATTTGAACGTAACTAAATTAATACTGCTTTGCATTAACGAAAAATTATGGTTTCACTTCCTCTCGATATTTTATCATTGCACACAAAAATGCTTTTCTCAGAATATTGATGACGGCGTTACACGAAATCTGTTATATTGGTACCGATTGAAACTTTAGGATGGGAGTACAAGATTTTATGTAAGTTGTTACTGGCTTTGTATGATCTTTCTTTAACTGCGAGTACTCATAGATCAGTACAAGTTGTATTTGACTTATGGGAGTTGCGATAAAACTACGTGCGCCTATTTGAAGAGTTAAGTCAGTTCCAACTGATTTGATCATTTTGTTATCATGTTGAAGATTAAGGTTGGAGGGAGAATTGTATAGATACTTTAGACACGATAATCAATGGTCTAGTTTATGCTCAACAATAAATAAGTATATGGTATGCAACAACTAACGAAAGCTATCAGACTACAGGCTTCTAAATTAGGAAAGGCAAATACAGAATGTGTCGTGGTGTAACATAATTATGATTTCAACAGCGCTCATGTTATGATCTGTTTCTGAATTTCAAAACGTATTTCCAACTGTATTCAGTGAGTTGATGTCCAAGTTACATATATGAATATCTATTGTGCTAGTTGTTAATTATTTGTAACCGCAAAAAATTATTTTCACAAAACCTGACAGCCATGTTGTCTTCCTTTCAGACATGAAAGAAAACGGCTATCGGCGCTGATGACTACAACAGGTTTACGTGAGGACTGTCTCAAATTGCACAGACTAGGCTTTTATACAGTGACTTGTATCGTCGTGTTTGATACTGCTGAGCTTGATGTAAATGAAAAAATCCCACATTACAATTACTAGGATCCAGCACTTTTTCAGAGGGGTCAAAAACAATATTAAATGAATGTTCATTTTTAGAAATCAATTTTAATCGTATTTATGTGTTCAAAAAAGTGGAAACAAATCTATCTAACTCGATCTCTGCTCTGAAACAAGGAAATTTTATGTAATTTTCAGAATAGTATAACCCCTTATTGAAGTCGATAACTCTTACTCCTCCAGTCAGATTAAGTAGGATTTAACAGAGTTTTTTTTTAAAGACAAAATCAAATATGGCATGGACGATATGTATATTTTTCCCCTTTCCCTCTTATCATTAATCTGCATTTTAAATTTTTCAGGGTATATGTAGAATCACTTAAATCATTAGTGATTTTATATATAATCCCTGAAATTGACCAGTGATTTTACATAATCACTGAAAATTTTAATAATTAACCTACAACATATACAAATTCCCTTATATAATTTCAGGGATTATCAATAATTCAAAGATCCTTTGTTTGATAAAAATTAAACTATTTATCATATGCACATTTTTGCGATTAGTTACTCATTAGTATACTACCAGCGGGAGACCTAGTTATAGGAATTACATAAAAATGTATTTTTAATCATATGAACCACTGAATGAAATGTTGGGTGAATGGTTCTTAGTCCCCTGCCCAAATTTTAATTGAAGGGTGTTCCAAATTGCCAGCATAATACATACCCTGGGTGGAACAAAGTTTGCAAGTATTTCTCATTTTAAGGAAAATACCTTAATACATTTATCTTCATTGATTGAGATATACTGCTGTAAACTGCGAAAAAATCAAGAAAAGAAGATCTACACATCAGTCTACATGAGCAAAATTGTCAATTGACAGCTTGTTGGAGTTATCAAGTTATTTTCTACAATTTCAATGAAAATATTGGTAATGTCTGTAAACTTACATAAGTTATCTGCTTTTGATTAAATTTCGGGGCCAATTTTATACCAAATTTGGCCTAAATCATTATTAGGGTATCTGTTATGATTTTAATCTATGTTTACATCATTTTCAAAATCAAATTATAATCAGGTGAGCGACACAGGCTCTCGAAAGCCTCTAGCTTTGGTTCCTGAGATATTTGAATTGAAAACTTTAATTCTCTTGGACGTGTCGTAAAATCTGATTCAGTATGTAGAGGACGAGGTATTTTTCTAAAATGGGGATGTCGTGGTAAAACAGATGTGAATCAAATAGTTGTGCCTGTAGAAAAAGCAGGGAAAATGTGCAATAGTCGATGTCATCTAAATTTAGTTTGTAAAAATAGATGATTGTTTTTGAAATATTGTGCTTACCATTTAAGTATGTTGTGCTTAATATTCTAGTATATTGTTCCTAACATTTTTAATATGTTGTGCCTAACATTTTAATGTACTGAGATTATCGTTTTAAAATATTGAGCTTAACATTTTTCATTTTGTGTTTATAATGATGTTTTAATATGATTTTATAGAATAAATTATTTAATCCTATGCATTGTCTATATATATAAAACTAATTCTGCATTTCAGTTATTATATATATTCCTTAACATTTTTTTCTAGTGATTATACATAATCCCTGAACATTTTAGTGATTATATATAATACCTTCACTAACCAGTGATTCTTCATTATCCCTGCAAATTTGAGGGATTCCACATAATCACTGATTATACAAATTCACTGTAACCAGTCAGGGGCGTTACTTAAACAAGTAATTTTGTTTAGTTACTTATATAGGTAATATTTATTTTTGAAATTTATTTAATAACTCAATAGAGTTATTTTATATTTCAATAGAAGCATGGACTAAATGTAGTTTTCATGAATTTTTACATCATTTTATTACAAAAAAATTAAGAAACCATTAATTTTGAGAGGAGTATAGAGATAAAAGGTTACTTTAAAAATAATGACAAAAATATTACTTGAATAAGTCATTTTATACATCTTTGAAAGAATTAGTAATTACAATTATTTAAGGAACATATGTAATTGTTTTGGGTTACAAATTATAAATAACTTTAAGTCTTTATTAACTCGCAAGTGTCTATCTATTTATATCTGTCTACCTTCAAGATTTTCAAGGAAAATGATACTTTGATAGTCCCATGAGACCAATCTTTGTCCAAGAAGCGTCGATATGAAAGATAAGTGTGTCGGAAAGGAATTAGTGTTTCAGGATGATTAATTTTTATATTTCATAGGAAAAATGACCACATGACTGTGCAAATTTGTTAAAGCTAGTAAAATCTGTATTAATGGAAACCTATAAAAATAATGTTTAGATAAGTAACTTATATAAGTAATATTTAATATAGCCTCGTTTTCAACATTACTTGTATAGGTAATTTTAAAAGCTACTTTTTTAAGTAATGTCCCTGACTGGTAACATATAAACGGGGTTTTTAGATCCCCCATCTTATACCTTTGTATATGGTTTTATCAAACAAATGCAACTATTGATATATATATAATTCACCCATGTGTGTACATCTTAACATTTTAAATCGATTCTAAATGTTTGCAAACTTGTACCAAACACAACACATATTAACACTATGCCACGCGTCAATACATTTGAATATATTTGTATTTTAAGAAAGTCCACACTTAAATCTTATTATTATCATCAGCGCAGTACTTGTATTTATATTCTTTTTCTAACACGTCTGTTAATGTAACAATTGACCTAATTGATTCGATAAGTGACAAAACAGGAGAAGTACCAAAAAGGTATTTTACCACTCATCCAGTCCGATCTGAAAAATTCGATAAATATAGGTTTAGTTGATTAACACAAATAGATGAATCGTTTTTTTTTCAAATCATTTAAGGTAGATGGGGTGTCTAAATTTTAAACCATAGAATTTTTTAATTATTTGCCAAAATGTAGTTTATTTCATGCTTTTTAAAAAAAAAAGAATAAAAAGAATGGGTCACGGGGCTTATTTTCACGCTATAGGTTGTGCAAAATTGACAGATTTTTGTATAGATTATGCATGCAAAACCCAATTTTCTGCCATAAAACGAAAACTACACCATAGAATTTTGAGATAAAATATGAGAAGATAGCTCTAATATTATGCTTTCAGATAAGAAAAAGAAAAACTGGGGTCACGGGACCCGTTTTCTTGCTACATAATAAAATAGGTAAATTCCTAACACATTCTATTGTAAAAGTAACTTTATCTGAATTATCTGCCCTTACATTTGAGTTGCCTCCACTTATGTGACAAAGTTGGAAAAATTGAATCAAACAAAAGTATTCTTTTTTTTTTTGTAAAATACAACCATACATATGATAAAACATGTCATTTTCTTTCTTGAAATGAAAATTCTTACACATGAATTACCGACTACTCTCAAAATTTGCACATTTTATAAAAGATCTAGACCGATTGTTTTCTGGTATTTCAAAATCCAAGATGGAGGAAGACACCCTATCTACCTTAATTGAAACAAATATTTAAACAGAACCGTGCGTTTACGTAATTGTATATTATTTAAAAATTACATGTCAGTTCTAAACTTTTTTTTGATATATTGGTACGTTAAACAATATCCAATTACAATTTGACTGCTGCTTCTGTTTTTCTATTTGACTGAGCAAATACATTTCTATAGTTACCTTCAGTTGTGAATTTGTTTCCTACAACAACAATATTATAGTAAATGAAGTGTAATAATAATTGATACAATTATCTCTTATCATTTTATAATTTCTAAAATGATTCATTTGATGATAATCATAACTTTATTTAATGTTGTTGTTTGTAGTTTAATTTTCAGAAACTGAAGCAAATTGACATACTATATGGACAATTCTCCCTAGTATTGCTGGAAGCCACAGTTTAATATTACAAGTAAAAATGAAAAGGAACACATGGCATAAAAGGTTTGACTATAGAATATAGGGATACCCTGTTGAAGATTATGAATAAGGCGTAATTTATTTAAATTTGAATTGTTTTATCGATAGAAATGGTAACATATTTTAAGATTCT